CAAAGTTGAAAGAGGATATTGAGCTCCCTCCAACGTCCCCGGGACACTGTGCGGACACAGACACCCAGTTTATCCTGGAGGAGCAACTCTTTTTTTTTTATCCTCACCCGAGGACATTTTTTCTTCTTTCTTTTTTTTTGTTTAGATAGAGTGGGAAGGGGGGAGAGAGAGAACATCGATGTGAAAGGGACACATCGAGTGGTTGCCACCCACACAACCCAACCAGGACCGGGGACAAACTGCAAACGAGGTACATGCCCTTAGCGGGAACCAAACCAGATCTCTCTGGACCGCAGGCTGAGGCTCTAACCACTGAGCAACCGGCCAGGGCTGGAGGAGCACCTCTTTAAGAAGCAGGACTGACCGTAAGCTCATCACCTCCGGAGGTTTGTAGTCCTAGGAAACAATCTTATTGCTATTAGGTTGTTTAGGGGAAAAGAAGGAGGAGAAAAATACGAGAACAACCCTTCAGTGACTGGTTTTCAACAGTGTTTGTAGCGTTGACTCCCTTCTTCGAACTGCTGAAACAGTTTTACAGGGAACAGCCTCCCGGTCCAGGTCTCTCCTTTCCACTGCTTTTGAGCCGCCTGCACTTTTGTTGAAGAGTCGGCCGAGAAGTCTGGGGTTTCCTGTGGCACATTTCTAATAATATTTTTACAGTCTCTTATTTAATGAACCATATAAATATTTAACATGAGAGCCATCTTTCGATGATGAATGGGGCTAAAAATCAGTCCCGTTTGTGCAGGGGACTTGGATAGGAGGCTTTTCTGCCGTTTGAAGCATCCTGTGGACCAAGAGTTAGGGATGGCTCAGGACTCGTGTGCAGTCTCGCCAGTATTTTCCTTTCTCTTCGCCTCCGCAGTCCATGTCCTTATTTTCCTCTCCCCATATCCCTTTCAGTCTTCCTTTGTAGAGTGTCCTGAGATGGAACCCTTCATAAATTGTGCTTCAGAGCCTCACCAACGCAGCCTCCAGTCCCAGCTCCTCTCCTGTGATGTGTGACCTTAACCAGCTTGACCACTGGTGCCTCAGTCTCCTTTCCTGGAGAATGGGCTCACGCTGCTTACCTCACATGGTGGTTTGAAGTATTCGGTGAAATCATGTGGGGGATTTGCAGAGCAGAGCTTAATAAAGGCTAGTTGTTACTGCGTTTGTTGTTGATATTGTTACTGAAGAAGTGATCAAAGGATGAGTTTCTCAATTTTAGGTCGGTGTTGTAGGAAGAGCCCTTAGGCTGGCAGTGAGCGGCTGGGGTTCGGATATGGGTGCTGCCGTTTACTGTTGGTGTGACTTGGGGCAAATTTCCCCACCCCACTGAGGTGTAACATGGGGATAGATTCACCAGCTTGATTGGGTTTTAGTTGGAAAAGGTTAACATGTGTGAAAGTACCAGACACATAGCAGAATCCTAATCCTTTTAAAAAATTTAGAAAGGGAATAATGTTTTCCATGTTTATTTCTTGAGCCCAAGAGGCACTGGAATACAGTTCGGAGTCCGGGACACAGCAGACAGTACTTCTGACCCAGGAGCAAAGGGCACTGAGCAGCGGGAAGGCAGGGAAAACCCTCCGGCGGAGTTGTTGTAACTCACAGGGTTGAGTTTCAGGGAAGCTGCCCAAGGGCTTGACCTTCTCCACTTCCCTGCTTTCGGGGTCCATGTCTGGAAACAATCAAAAGAGATCACTTAAAACTGTAAGAATGGAAAACCTGGGGAACCTGGGATGTTTAAGTAGAATCTGTGAATCACTCAGTGACTTGCCGAGTTCCTGCACTGTGCGGGCCCCGGGCTGGTGCGAGGGATGCCGCTGCCATCCCAGCAGTGGTGGAGGGCATGGTTAACGCCCACGCGCCACTCTCCACGAGAGGTGGGGGCGCTCCGAAGGGCGGGCTCTTTCCTGTCTAGCAGAGAGATGACCCAGACGCCAGAGCTGGAGTAAGCCCTGGATCAGCTGCAGAGTAGGAATGCACCTCCTTGGATGTTACTGGAAATGAATCGGGATATCTGGATGGTGGGTGGTAAGATGGTGTACTCTCTGCAGAGGAAGAGAGTCACAAGGGAGGAGGAGCCCAGGTGTGAGGAGGTGAGCCATGCCCCGGGGGGAATTTCTCTTGTATTGGGGCCTGGCAAGAGTGGGGAGAATTCTGGATGGTGGCTAACCAGGTCTGTGCAAGCAAGAATGTGTAGATTCTTCATTTTCTATTAGGTCCTCGTTTCTCCTTGAAGCACTTAGAGTAGTCATTGCGTAGTAGAGTCGTCTTTGGAATGTTCTGGCCTGGGACAGAGTTGTTGATGTGCTAACATCAGTGTTGAGGAGTGGCACCCCTGGAAAGGCTGTGGGAAGCTATGAGAAGGAAGCCCAAGGAGAGTAAGAAGATGTGTGTGTGCAGTAGGGAGGGGCGCAGCTAGCTTGGTCAGCCTTCCTCTCATTTGAAGATAAAGAAACTGAGGAAGCTCTGAACCAGGGCACGGTCCTATTTTGTCCATCATTGTATCCTGAGCTCTGAGCAGGGTGCCCGGCACAGTGTGCATTTTTTCAAATCTCAGATGTCATGCATTACAAGACTTACTATTATTTCTTACACCACCAAGAAAGAAAGAAAATGCTACCAATTAATTGCCTTTGATCATCAAATTCACTCTGACTTTGGAAAAGATAAATGTGAAAAAATTAGTGTTCTAGAATTAATAAAATGTAGTTATAAGCCTTCAATACATATTTGTAATTGGTGACTGAAGTACACAGAGATTAGAATCAAGACAAAACACGAGTGCATTTCATTACAATTTAGGAATGCAAACTCAATTGAAACACAAACCTATTCATCCTTGTTTCCCATTGATTCACTGATTTAGTCGTTCATTCAGAAAACATTTATTGGAAACCGATTGTGTACCAGACACTGTGCTAGGAGCTGGAGATGCAGAAATCAATAGGTCCTTTTTTCAGATTCAGACCAATAAGGGAGACAGACACAGAAACCAAAAATCACAATTCTGCATTGGTAAGTTTTCACAGAAAGTAGGGATGTGGACCCTGGTGGCACCAAGGGACAGAGAAAGGCAAGGATGTCTTTCCTGAAGAGGTGATGGTTGAGCTGAATCTTAGAGCGTGAGTCCCTGCTCACCAGACAGAGAGGAGGGGACAATTTCGGAAGGGCAAGTTCGGAGTGATGGGCAGTCCGGCAGCAGTGGGATGCAGTTGGGAAGCTACAGGGCGTTTCGGGATGTTTTGAGCTGGGTCTGAGGATGGACAGGCCAGCGTTGGATACGGTGGACAGCAGCCAGAGAGAAGCGCCTGGAGGCCTGAGATGTCGCTGGGGGCCGCAGTCTGTGTACCAGCCCGAAGCCAGAGGTTCTCAGCCTTTCTGAGTCCAGAGGGAAGGGCCCAGCAGAGGGACTGTTGGAGGAAGGGTAGGGGGTGGGGCCAGGGTGACATTTGCTTCAAACTGAGCAGCTGTGCTTAGATCTGTTTCATTTAAATATTCTGAGTCATGGCTTGGAGAAAAGGTATCACTGTGAAGGAGGGAAGGAATGCGTGGTGTGAAAACTGGCGCCCTGGTCCGTCCTGTGGAGCTCCTAGAGGGTTGTCAGCAAGGGAGGAGGTGAGAAGTTGGAGGCTGGAGCCTGAGAGCCGTTCTTACAGCTTCCCCATTTCCCTCTCCACCTGCCAGGGAGCCGGCGCCAAAGGGCTAGGCACCGCTGGGAAATCATCGTGATGAAGTCGAAGCAGTCATTTTTAATGAAGCTGTTTTTGTCTGGAATAAATATCCAAGAACATCTGCTGCTGACTTCGTTTTAGGGTTCCCCAGTGTGACTTTGCCCAGGAAACATTACCTTTCTGAAGTGGAAGGGCGCGGAACGCTGGTGCCATCGTTGAAATTGGACACTGGGCACTAAGACCGCCCCGAGATCCCCTGGGGAGCTGTAGCCTGGTACCCAGCGTGGCTGTCTTGGGGGCTTCTGGTTCTTTGAAAGCCCAATCTGGAAAGTGAAAGCCTTTATGAGATTTCTGTGTCCTGTGGGCTGCCTGACCAAAGGGACCTAGAGTGGCAATGAAGGCGAAGGAGTTCCTGGCTGTTCTCCGGTCAGATTTCCTTGTAACTCACAGGGGGTCTGTAAGGAAAACAGATTCTCTGACACATTCCTGATCCTGTCTCCCTCCAGGCTCCTTCCCAATTCCCAGTCTCTTCGGCGCAGGGCTGCAGTGTGTTTGCTCCTTCTCCAAACCTGCATTGCCAGCCGTTCAGAAGGACAGGCAAGAGCGTGAGACTCGGGGGCTCGCCGATGGGGGACTGCGGGTCCGGGCTGCCCCGGAAGGATGCTGGCTAAGTTCCTTAACTTCTCAGAGACCTGTTTCCCCCTCAGAATGCTGTACATGGTCACAATAATGTGGACTTAGCATGAAGAGAAAAATTGCATACATCTTGGAGCCTCACCTTGGTCACCTGTAACTTAGAAATTTAAATATACTCACCTTGGAGCGTCCTAGTGAGGAGTTGGGGGGGGGGGGTTGTGCTTTTCACAGTGCTTGTCACAAACTGGGTGCTCGGATAATTATTTGAAAGAATGATCGACTGGGTAGATGATGTTCCTTTTCAGTACCATGAGCACTGTCCTTGTTTTGACAGATTCAATAAGAACAAATGCATATCTATTACCTCCAAATTCTCAGTTCTGTCATCCTTTATTTACCTTTATAGCACTTTTTCACCTGCTATCACGACTTGGCTTAAATAATTATGCAGTCCATAATGCTTAATGTCTGACTCCTTTCCAAGAATGGGAATTCCGTGTCTGAGGCCCTTTCCGTCTTGTTCACCCACCGCCTCGCTCATGCCTGTTAGCATGCTGTTAGACTCAACACTGTGGTTGGATGAATAGATCATAGAAGGCCACCAGTTAGTTAGCTGCACCCCTTTTATTTCCACTTTCATGAGGTCTTGTGCCTGACTGCAGACCCACTTGGTCCTCATGGGTTCCTGCCTTTGATCCACAGCAGGTGGAGGGGACGCGATGGCTGGAAGAGATCCGGAACCAGCGCGCTACTATGTGGGTGTGGATGTGGGGACAGGCAGCGTCCGCGCGGCCCTGGTGGACCAGAGGGGCATCCTTTTGGCTTTCGCAGACCAGCCAATTAACCAGTGGGAGCCTCAGTTCAACCATCACGAGCAGTCCTCCGAGGACATCTGGGCCGCGTGCTGTGTTGTCACGAAGGTAAGGCCGCCGTGGGTGCCCTCCTTGCACGTGCTTCCTGCCGCTGCCTGCCGAGTGTGTGTCGTGTGTCCGCCTGGTGCCAGCGACAGTGTTGGCGTAACTTTAGACACAGGTCTGGCCTTTCAGGAGCTGACAGACTATTAGTGACAGAGACCAATAGCCCAAATATGACCTGATAGGTGGTAGGCGCGAAGTGACTATGGCTGGAGCTGAGGAAAGGGGTAACTCCGAGGGGCAGGGAGTAGACAGGATAGAGATGGGAACATGCAGACATAGGACAGTCAAGTGTGACCCGAGGTGGAAGAAGTCCTTGGAAATCATAGCTAATAACTACTGTGCCTTCCTGTGTGCCCAATGTGATGTAAAACGTGTTAGCATGTATCAAGTAGTTGAATCTTCACAGGGACCCTATAATGGTCGTACCATTGCTATCCCCATTTTATTGAGGAAGAAACAGGCACAGAAGGTTTAGGTAGCTTACCAAGTTCACGCAGTTAGTAGTAGCAGAGGCAGGACTGGAACCTCAGCAGTCTGATTCCCGCACTGCACCCTTAGTCACTGGACTGTCCTGCCTTCCGAGCGGACAAGTGAAGGGGACCTCATTTTGTTCAGAGGGAATAGCACGTGCAGAGGCACCGTGTGTGTTTTGGGAAAGCAAGGGAGTTGGGCGAGCTTAGAGTATCTCTGGATTGTGCCGGCCAGAGGTTCGTCCTGAGTGCCCTTCAGTCGGAGTCAGCTTCCTGGCCTGGGGAAGGAAGTGCTCCTGGCCAAGACTTGTTCATTTTTAGTTTCACTTGACTCTTCAGTTTTATATCCTGGTGATCAGAAATGACAGAGATTCTTTTCTCTTTTTTTTCAGAGGGAAAAATGAAGTCTTGGATTCTCTCTTCTTCTCCTAGTTTAGTTCCTTAAATATTCATGAAGGGCTTGGTAATTTGCAGATGGACAATTCACCATTTTGTCCGTATTGATCAGTCTGTTTAAACTTTAATGAGCTCTGGGCTACTGTTAGTGCCCCCAGAGATGAAGGCAAAGAGAGGAAGTGGGGTGGGCGGCACTGGAGCAGTATAGGGATAAAAGAGGGGCGCATCGTCTCTTCTGCCTGTTTAACCCCCCCCTCCTCCCAGCCCCACCTTGGTGAGAATCTTCTACTCATCGCCCTTGGGTCTCCTTTGTTCTTCTAACATACAGCCTTTCTTGCCATTAAGGAAATTGTTAAGAAGAAAATATAACCCCCTGATGAAAAGCTACTGTAGAAAAGGTCTGCTCTAAGTACAGCTGGGTTTCATGGTAGATTTTTAACTATCTCCTGATGGCGGCCAGTCTGTTATCTGCTTGAGCCCCTTGGCCATGAGTGCTGTGGGCCTTTGTCCTTAGTGAGGCTATCTCACTAGGGCAGACCCAGAGAAAGCTAATGGGGCTTAGGCTGTTCCCCCTTATGGAGTGAGGCATTTGAACCCTGGAGAGGCAGCATCTTAGAGCACAGGTTCTGCAGCCAGACTGCCTGCATCGGCATCCCAGTCCCAGTATTTGTTAGCTTGTCATCTTGGACCAGCTACGTAAGGTTTCTTGCCCGCGTTTTCTGACCTGTGACATGGGAATGCTAAGCAGTGGAGTGTTTATAGGAGGGGTGTACAACAAGTTCTCTACCCCAAAGGATCCAGTAGTTCAGTCGCATGGAAAAACCAACCCCGTGAAGCCAATGAGATAGGTTTTAAGTTGCACTGGCTACCTGAGCAGTGGTTGAAGGGAGAAAGCAGTCGAGGGAGGAGCTCGTGTCGGATTGAGCAATGATGTTAACCTCTTACAGCCACAGAACTGGGTAGTTTACAAAGCACATTCATATCCATTTTTAAAAAGATATTGGACCATTTATTTAAAATTTATTTTTCAGTGAGCAGTTGGCATGCAATATTATATTAGTTTCAGGTGTATGCCGTAGTTATTAGACATTTATATACCTTACAAAGTACTCACCCCAATAAGTCTAGAACCCACCTGGTACCATACACAGTTATTACAATATTATTGACTATATTCCCTATGCTGTTCTTATATCCCTGTGGCTATTTTTATTTTATTAAAATTTTTTTTTCTTTATTGATTTTTCTTAGAGTGGAAGGGAGAGGGAGAGAGAGAAACATTGATGAGAGAGAACATCCATTGGCTGCCTCCTGCATGGCCTCCACTGGACACTGGGCCCACAACCTGGGCATGTGCCCTGACCGGGATGGGAACTGAACCTGCGACCTCTTGTGCCCTCAACCGGCCCTCAACCACTGAGCCACCCCAGCCGGGCCCTGTGACTGTTTTTATAACCCACAGTCTGTAATTCTTCAGTCCTTTCACCATTTTCACACATTCACATCCATTTGATTGTCATACACGGTGGGTAGGACAGGGGTTGCTATTCCTATTTTACCTTTGAAAAAAAAAACTGATACCCAGAGACTTAGTGACTTCCCCTGAGTCACCCAGGAAATAGGCGACAAGCCTGAAATCACATAGGATCCATCTCCGCATTTTTCCACATCTCTCTATTTCCACCACCACATACCTTCATCTTTTGTCTACATTAGGTAAGAACCTAACTGATTTTCTCATATATGCCCTTTCCCCTTCCAACCTGTTCTTGTTCTGGGAGCTGGAATGATTTTTTTCTTTTAAATGCTAACCTGATCATGTCACTCCTCTGCTCACAACTCTTTCCTAGCATCACACTATCGTTTGGATAGAAGTCAGAATCCTCAGCACGGCCTCCGGGCCCTTCATGGTTTGGTTTCAGCCCACTTCCCGGCTTGTCTCATGGTGCCTCTCTCAGCCCCGTATCCGAGCCGCACTCTCCGGTCCTCCAACAGGCCATGCTTCCTCCAGCCTCAGAACTGGCACACACGTTTCTTCTTCTTCCCGCCCACTGCCAACATGTTTCACTCCTCTTCATCCTTAGATCCACACCGTCCAGTACAGTAGTTGCTAGCCTCATGTGGCTATTTAAATTTGTTAAAATCATGTACAATTTAAAATTTGGTTTCTCAGTTGCACTAGCTATATTCCAAGGGCTCAGTAGCTGTTTGTCTGGTAGCCACTGTGTTAATCATCACAGAAACAGACCATTTCCTGCACTGCAGGAAGTTCCATTGGCCAGTGTGGCACTGGACCTTAGTTCAACAGTCAATTCTTCAGGGAAGAAACCTCTTCTTGCCCAATATCACCTCCAAATTGAGTCCTCTTTTACTTGCTAAATGTTCTCACGGCGTCTTGTACTTTTCCTTTGTAGAACTTCACGTGGTTGATGAATCATTCACTTTTTAATTAATATCAGGTAATAAAATCATTATATAATCAAATAAAACAACAAAGTAAATAACAAAGCCATTCACTTTGGGGATTCATATTTCTCTTCCCTACTAGATTTCATGTTTCAGGAGGGCAGAACGATAGTTTCTCCTCCAGGCCCTCACGTGCGGCAGATTCAGGACATGATAGGAATGAGTGGTTAAAGCAACGGGGACCTCCCTACTCCCAGCCCACGGAGAGAGCCGGCAGAAGGGAGGAGGGCTAAACGTGATTCTGGAGAACTCTGAGAGTCCACGGGGAACGGCATGGGCAGAGGCGCTGCGCTGCCGTGAAGCAGCCAGCCCTGGCGGCAGCAGGTGGTTCCCAACACGAGCAAGACGGGAGGCTGGAACTCATGGTCAGGGCACACCTGGGTAGCCGGTTCTGAGGCCAAAGAGAGCTTTTCTGGGACATCCTGAGTTTTAGAGTGATCAGCAACAGGTTCAAGATGGCTTGCAAGGAACAAACTAAATTCAAGGATGCCAGTTAGAGGCAGTGTGATTCCTGCTAGAGGCTGAGATTCCTTTGAACCGGAATCTCTGGGAAGCCTGGGACTACGTCAGGCTTGTTCAGCCCCGGCCCTTCATGCTGGCACAGTGCACGTACATACTTTGTAGTGTCTGTTTAATAATGGATGGCTGGACTAGAATGCTGGCAGAGGAATGAATAGGAGGGACAAGATTGAGGACCTGGTGACAGTGGAGAGGAACGAGGCAGAGGCAGTCTTGGACTTTCTGTTTTTGGAAGAATGTGGGTGTCACGGACATAAAAGGAAGTGTTTGGCCTACGTTCCCCCACCTTATCTACAACACCACGCTCAAGCCAGGATGCCATGTCGGCAGTGGTCCAGGATGGCTTTGTTCATTTTAACAACCAGGAGAGGAGATTTTGTCAAATCAAGTGCCTCCGAGGCCGCTCAGGTAACAGACCCCACATAAGCTGGATTAGCCTCGTTGCTGCTCCCACCTCTGGGCCTTTGCACTGGCTGTTTTCCTCCCTGGGAAATTTCCTCCAGATTTCCTTGGTCCTTCAAGTGTTTCCTCAGCCTCACCTTCTCAGCAGCTCCATCTCCCTTCTCCAGCAGTCCCGTCCCCGACTTACCACTTTCCCGTACCTATACATACACTGTAGAACTATTTGGTTTATTAGCTGTTATCCCTACTAAAGTATAATCTCCAAAAGAGAAAGGAATTATAAAAATATACTTTGCTTTCCATTGTTTCCCAAATACCCAGGAGAGTTCACAGCCTAACCCTAGAAGGGACGTGGTCATATTTGCTGACTGATTGAACGAGTGAGGAATTGAATTGTGCAGGCAACAGGGAGTGAGGGGCCTGAGGGAACCAGGGATTGCGCAGCCCTGTACACGCCCGGAGCTGACAGGCATTCCCATCAAGATTTAAAGGAGCGCAGGACCAGCCACACACAGCTCGGTTGCAAGCTGGATTCTGTCTGCGAGGCCCCGGGCTTTGACCCCATCTCCAAATAGAGCTAAAGATAAAACCAGGTATGCCTCCGACCTTCCAGTCCTTCGTTCTGAAAGTGCCGTCTCCCCACGCAGTATGGCAGAGCCTGCTAATGTAAAACACATGCGGCCTCGACCCGGTTCCCACAGTCAGAACAAAGCGCTGCACAACCCCTTCTCCAAATATTTGTTTGCTGCC